GCGCGAGGACTGGGAGAAGGCCAAGCTTGAGCTCATTCTCGACAAGCTGGTTAGCTCCACGATCAAGTCGTACAGCATTGGCTGGAGGTGGTGGGCTCTCTTCTGCCGCACGAGGGGAATCTGTCCGCTTCGCGAGATCACACCAGAGAGCAGGAGGAATGAGGAGGAGCTGCTGCTGGAGTTCGTCATCCACTTGGCACGCCGAGGCTGCAAGAAGGCGGGCACCATCAAGCAGTACCTGAGCTCGGTCCGAGCCCAGCACCTCGCGCTCGGCATGGGCGACATAACGGAAGGCGCTGGTAGGCTCTGGATGGCGATCGACGGGCTCAGCTGAAGGGATGGCGGCACCAAGCGCAAGAAGCCAGTCACTCCCCGCATGATGAGGTGGATCAGGCGGAAGCTGCAGCCAGAGAGGTCGAGAAAGGGCGCAGCTCTGTGGGCCGCGGTGGCTACGGGCTACTTCTTCCTTCTGAGAGCCAGCGAGTACGTCTCGAACGATCAGAACGGCTACATGGGCAACAGAGGCCTTCGGGGAGCTGACGTCACCCCGAAGGCGAGCGGCGAGCCGACCCGCGCGTGGGGCGAGGCGAACGAGGTCGTCATCCAGATCCGGGCCAGCAAGACCGATCAGTACAACAGGGGCGAAGGGCGCAACCACTTTCGCATCGTGGCCACGGAGGATGCAGATCGAGCTGAGCTCATTTGCGTGGTGGAGGTGCTCGAGATCTATGCTGGTTGGGCCAACGAGAGGTTCTCGGGCGCGCAAATGTACGACCCCCTGTTTGCTTTCGACGACATGCGCTTGGTGACCCGCGCTGACGTCCAGCGCGTGGCGATGCAGTCGGCGGCGGCGGAGGGCATGGACCCGAACGACCTGGGGTCGCACAGTCTGAGGGTCGGAGGAGCGTCGGCATTGTACGCGGCATTCGAGGACACCGCTCTGGTGCAACGCTGGGGCAGGTGGAACAGCGACGCCTTCCAGGGGCACCTGTGGGAGGCGCGCGGCATGGCAGAGGGGGTTGCCAGCAGCATGGCGGCCACCGACATCACGATGATTTGAGGAGTTGTGCAGTCGCGTTGGCCTGAGGCTCAGAGCGCGTGGGCAGCAGGGCCGATCAGGCCAGTGCTGGGAGCGCAGGGGAGCTTCGAGGCTGGCAATGCGGCGCTAAGCATAGCGGGCTGTGCGGGGCCAGGCCCCCTCGCCAGCGCGCGCGGGGGCCCTCGAGGTGGGCCCCGCGGCGCGCTAAGAGAAGACCTGATGCAGGGCGCACCAGAGGGGGCGGCGCTGCGCCGCTAGGAGAGCACGAGGGGGGTCCAGCGGCGGCGGGGCCGCCGCCGCAGAGCTCGTGCCTGCGGGATGGACCGCAGGCGCCCTGGTGCCAAAAAGTGGGGTTCGAGGCATCTTGAGGAGGGAGAGGAGGTTTGCGGAGGCGGCCTGAGGGCAGGGCCATCAGGCCCAGGCGAGCCCGATCCGCCCGGGGGCCCAGAGGCGGAGAGTACAGGAGGAAACGTGATCGTTCGTGAGAGCAGTGGGTTTCCTCCCGCCTCGTAGCCTCTCCTCTGCTTGTCCTCTCCCGCTGCCGTGTCTCTCAAGGCTTTGAGGAGCCGCTTGCATTTGGGGGCCCCACCCACCCACGCCAAAGAGGTGGGGCCCCAGCCGAGTTTGCTCGGCGGGCCCCCACAGGGGGGCTCGCACGCGCTTGCCGCATCGCGGTCGGCGCGCAGTTTCGCCTCCCGCGAGGTTCCTCGCGGGGGGTCCAGCGGCGGCGGGGCCGCCGCCGCAGAGCTCGTGCCTGCGGGATGGACCGCAGGCGCCCTGATGCCAAAAAGTTGGATTCGAGGCAGCTTGAGGAGGGAGAGGAGGTTTGCGGAGGCGGCCTGAGGGCTCAGGGCCATCAGGCCCAGGCGAGCCCGATCCGCCCGGGGGCCCAGAGGCGGAGAGTACAGGAGGAAACCGAACGGCCACCAGAGAGCCGAGTTATGACCCGAAAATTGAACTACGAGAATAATCGGAGAGGATAGGCTCAGGGGGAGACGCAGCATCCCCCGACCGATCGCCCATTCAGCACCGACGGGGGCCTGATAGCCCACCCTGCCCAGGAGCGAGCCGTTTCGCTTTCGGGGGCCCCTCGCAGATCTATCGGCGATGTATCGCTGATTCCAGGTCGACGTTTTTTCTGTGAGCCAGTCCCCCGTAACGTTCCCCCTCACGGCCCCGAAGTCGTTGTAGGCGCCAGGGTCTGCGTGAACGTCGTCGTCAGCGTCGTCGGCCCCTGAAACCTCCTCGTCGCGGGAAGTCACAAAGTCTTCCGGAGGGTTCGTTGTTTCTTTCTGGTTTTCTCACCTTCGGTTGCTCTCCAGCAGCTGCGCCTCGCCGAGACGTGTCCAGAGGTGCCCGCATCGTCCCGAATGGCCGTTTGAGGCCCGAGTTATGGCACGAAAACCTACCTCCTCGCATCGTGACATTCCTCGCGACGGGAGGTTCTTATCCTTTCTCGACTTCCGGGGGCCATCAGGAACGATTCGGGATGAGGAGCCACTCCCTTTGGGGGGTCCAGACTCTTGATATTTGGGGAACCACGTGATGCAGAAGACACGACGTCGATGTCTGTCGGGTCGGACGGCAGGGAACGGGGGGTGCAACACTTGCTGCGCGCAGCCGGTTTCGGCTCCGCCGCCGGGCCTCTTTCTCGATGCACGGGCGCCTCCGGCATGTCCTGGCGCTGGAGAAATCAGCTGTGTGAGCTGATTCGCCAACCCATGGCATCGTTCGGACGTGTGCATTGCTCCTCGGCAAGAACCGTCGAGGAGCATGTTGGGTCATCTTGCGAAAACAATGCACTCGCGAGACCAAAAGATGCACGAGGAGTGGGCGTCCGAGCGATGGCAGGTACCCCCCCCCGACCCGAGTCTTGGGCGTTTTCGCCTTCGGCGGCGTCGAGGGTGCGCCCCCGCCTCTCGCCTCTTCCTCCTCCTCCTCCTCCTCCTCCTCCTCCTCCTCCTCCTCCTCCTCCTCCTCCTCCGCCTCCTCCTCCTCCTCCTCCTCCTCCTCGCCACGCTCCCGCGGAGTTGATCCGTGGGATGGCTGCGCCAGGCGGAGGCGGTGTGGCCACGGCCCCCTGAGCCAGAGCACTGCGAACCAGGCGCTTGAGCCTTCACCCTGAGAAGATTGAGAATGCAGGGTGTCTCAACCCACACGGCTTCATTTTTCTCGGGCACGTCAGCGTCTTGGTTAATCAAAGTTCTTGTTTAGGGGGCCCTGATGTGGCATCGGCGCTGACATGAAACGCGCGTGTGCAACATCGAGCCGCAAGGAGCCAGGGAGGCAAGGCAGACTTGGGAAAACTGGATAAGCGCACAAGGAGGCGTCGATTCCAGGCCTCCTGAAGGGGATAGGGTCCGAGTAGATGGGGTCGGAAGGAGGGGGGACAGAGCGGAAGAGGTGGAGAGGAGCCCGCAGGGGCGCACAGGTGCAGAGCACAGGAGGGTGAAAAGAATGGAGCAGCAATAGTCAGGGGCAACGGCAGGGGGGAGAAATCGACCCCCAATCGCCGGCTCATCGCTGATATGGGGTCCGATAGCCCGCTCCGCCCAGGAGCGTGCGGATTCACCATCGGGGGTCTATTGCCGATTCCAAGTCGATGTTGCCCCCCCTGAGCCAGTTCCCCACTGACGTTCCCCCTTCAAAAGGCAGCAGAGGGCAGAGCAGTAAGACGGGAATGGAGTGGAAAGTGCACTGCGGCTCAAGCGGCCAGCAGCAGCGTGCGGCTGGTGCGCAGGGCTCGGTGAGTCGAAAAGGCAGCGCGATGAGGCGAGGGCTGCACAAGAGAGTAAGCTGCGCTGGACTCCAGACGGTGGCCCACAGCGGAGCGGCCCCTCCGCCGATGGGCAAAGATGGCAACCGGGTGCCAGCAAATTGTACACGTGAAAGGTGTGGTGGGCTCGACTTCGTGGATGCGCCACAGGTAGCATCGGGCGGGGCGATAGCGGAATATATGAGTGAGAAGATGGTGCAGCAGTGGGAGGTCAAAGTGGGAATTGCAGGGTGTTGTGAGCTCGGCCTTGTGGGAGCAACACGGGAGTAACCTCAAATGGGGTTGGAGGGGGAGGCGGCAAGCGATCTCCTCTGAAGGCTCACTCCTCTCCGCGACCTCCCCTCCACCCGATATCAAGTGGTTGCGTACGGCGTACTGGCAATGCATAGATTGCAACTGGACTGGGCGTAGGCGTGAGGATATTGTCAACTGTATGCACAGCTGGGTTGGGCGTAAGTGCAGTCGAAGTGAGTGGTATTATGTTTGGTACTTGTCTAATTAAGTTGGCAGGCTTGGTACGTATACTAGGCTGGTTTATATTTTATACATATATATATATATATATGTATCGCATTGGGAGGTTGAGAATTGATGTTGCATGTTGCTTGTGCATGCGGTCCTAGCTGATCCCCCACCCCCCTCCCAACCCGAGACGAAGCGGCCGCTTGCAGGCAACTTGCAGGCTGCAACTAGGCTGGGCGCAGACGCCAGGATGCTGCGCAACAGTGTGTGTGTGTGTAGCCGTGCTGGTCGCAACTGAAGCCACATTGAGTGGTGCTCTGCATGGCACGTATGACAGGCACTCTGCGACGTAGCGGAATAAATGCAACATCTCGAAACATCACATCACGACCAGAGACCCAGACCCCATTTTTCAGAGAGGCGGATCGATCTGTGAGGGTCCCGAGGCTTGAAACCGGGCGATAGCCCCCAGCTCGAAAAAACGAGACGTTGTGAGCGTGTTTGTATTCAGATGTTGGCAAGTTATTTGCGTGAAATGTTCCCCACCCCCTCCCGCTGCCATTTCAAACAGCACTGGGCGACTTGCGTGAAGTTCACATACATTTCCTTTCGGGACTGGCCAGGCCCCACCCTTCATGCAAGTAAACTTGTTGGATTCTGCCGAAAACCTGCCTCCAGGATCTCAGGGAGAGTCCTCCCCCCCCGCTGCCACGACCCCGAGAGGCCGTCGCCAGCTTGCACGGGCGCAGCGTCCAGGATTGGCCAGAGCCGCTTCAGGCGCGGCTGGTCGACCCGCGGCTGGAAGACCCGCTGGCGCCGCCCCCGCCTGGGCCGGGGCGGCGCGGATCGCCGCGGGACCGCTTGAACCGTTGCTTGGCATTGCTCGAAGAAAAAACAATTCGGCGTAAGCAGTAAATGTTCGGAGCTCCGCGCGGGTTTCTTGAACCCCCCTCCCTGGCGCACGGAGCGCGCGCGCCAGGGACGGGGGGCCAGCGCCGATCCAAGAAATCCGTGCGTAGCTTCGAAAGTTTGCGCTGATGTTGTTGTTATGTTCCTCTGATTGCTTGGCGCTGACTGGCATTGCATGAAAAGGAACCCAGACCACGGAACCCCAGGACAGCAAAGCGGCAAGACCAGAGAAGTCGAGGAAGGCAGCAAACACCAGACCAACGAACCTTGGAAGGCAGGACCGAGGAGCCCCAGGAAAGGCGAGGAACCTATACCGAGGAGCCCGACGAGGGCCGCAGCAAAAAAAGGCGGGGCTGGCCCGGTCGATCCGCGCTGGTCCTCCCCCCAGGGCAGGGGCGGCGCGGAGCGCCATGGGATCGCGCGATTCGGGAGACTTGGCATCGCTCGGACGTCTGCGCTTTTCTCGGCGAGGCCGATCGAAGAGCATCCCGGGTCACCAAAAAAAAAAATCGCCTGAGAACCAAAAATGCGCCAGGAATGGACGTGTGTGCATTTTCGTCGGCGAGGACCTTCGAGGAGCATCCTCGACCATCGGGCCCAACAAAAACACGCGCGAAAATCGGAAAGTGCACAGGGGATGGACGTCCGAGCGATGGCAGGGAGTGGAAACGATGCCGATGTCGCTACCTTGGCCTGGTCTGATTCCTCCACCAGCGGCGTTTTGTTCTCGATGTCGGCCTTCGAGGTCCGCTTTCGGGCCCCGGGGGCCATCAAAAACAGATCTGGGGCGAGTCACCCCCGCTGGATCGGTCAAGAAGTGTGGGGCCGCGTGCTAAAAAGAATCCAGACTCCCGGGGCGGCGTGGATCGCCGCGGGATCGGGCGACGCCATCAGGGGCAACGTCAGGGGGGGATGTGCTCAGGGGGGGAACGACGTGGTTCGAGGGCCTGGGCGTCCGAGAGCGTCAGGGGCAGCGTGAGGATCTTCCCGAATCTCCGTGGGGTCCTGAAGGCTTTCCTGCCTCGGGGTGCCTCGAGATGGTTGGCGGTTCGAGTTTCGAGGTGCTTTTCCTGATGACGTGGTTCGAGGGTCGAGGTTTTCGGGCGTTGTCGTCGGGTCCTGGACGTCTGCCAGCCTCGGGATGCGTTTCAGCGGCCGCGCCTCGCCGAGAGGCGTCGGTGGGGGGTCCCGGGATCGTCCCAAACGACCGCCCGCAGCCATGGCCCGAAGGCCAGACGACGACGATCATTTGGGGAGAAAAAAGGCTCAGGGTGGGATGGGTTCGAGGTGGTTCGAGGTTTTCGGGTTTTCGTCGGGTCCTGGACGTTTTCCGGCCTCGGGGTGCCTTCCAGCGGCTGCGCCTCGCCGAGAGGCATCCTGGAGTGCCTGGGGCGTCCCGAACGGCTGCCAGGGAGCCGAGTGATGACCCAAAATTCGAACGACGAGGACCATTGGGGAGGATAGGCTCGGAGGGGATTTTTGTTCGACCCCCAATCGCCCATTGATCGCCGATAAGGGGCGCGATGGCCCGCCCCGCCCAGGAGCGTGCGGATTCACTATCGGGGCCCCACGCCGATCTACCCACGACGCATCGCCGATCTCAGGTCGATGTTTCCCCGCCGAGCTGGTCCTCCCCTGACGTTGCCCCTCGGGCCAAGCTTTCGCGGATCGCCGCAGGATCGGGCGACGGCACCCCGGACCTCCCACGCATGTCAGAAATCGTGGCGGAGGTTTGCCCCCGTTGTCGAGTTTCGGGGCTCTCGCCGGGCTCCAGAACCGTTCAAAAACATGTGGGACGAAAATCCAGTCCCCGGTGAATGGGTCCAGATCTCAGGGGGTCGACGTTGCGAAACGAACCACGACGTCGGAGTTCTGGGGCAGAAGATCGGGAGAGGAGAAGATTCCGATACCGCGGCTCGTCCTGGACATCCCTCGTCCCCACGGCTGGATTGGCCTCGAAGTCTTGGTCAGAACGCGCCCTTGGAGAGGTTCTGGGAGCAGCGTTATTGGTATCTTTCTGCTCCCCCAGCGACGCAAAGCTTTTCCGATGTCGTTTTCGAAAATTGTCGTGGCATCTCGGAGGTTCTCTCTCCTCGGGGTGCTCTCCAGCAGCTGCGCCTCGCCGAGCGTTCTGGGGGTGCCAGAGCCGTCCCAAACGGCCGCCCGAGGACCGAGCTCTGACCCGAAAAACCTACACCCTCGCGTCGTGGAAGCATCCCGGCCTCTGGGCGGGGCCTTGCAGGGCCTTGGGGTCGGGGGCGGAAAAGAGGGGGGTGATGACTAGGGGGGGGTGTATATCATGGCGGGGGCCATGATATTTCCCCAGATTTCATGGCGCCCCTTCTTATTTCATTACGTCCCTGGCCCCCCCTGCTGGGCCGCGCACATGCCGCCGGTCATGATTTGCACCCCCCCTCTTGGACACCCCCCTCTTGGCCGCTCCCGATGGGGCCCGGCCAAAGAAGGGCCCAGGATGGGAAGCCGAAGCCCGGGCAAGGGGTCCAGACCTCGGGGGGAGCCACATTGCGAAGGAGCACGACCTCGGACGTCTGGCGACGCCAGCTGTCCACCGACACTGATCCTGGCAGGGCCGCTTTCGTCGGCGGCGAGCGAGGGGGAAAGTGAGAAGGAGAAGGCCTTCTCAGAAGATTCGGAATTCCCCTGGCCTTCTTGGAAGTTTTTCAAGCCTTCCCCGAAGACGCCAACAAAAATCCTCAGAGGGCGCAAGGGCTTCTGAGAAGTCCCGCCGCCTTCTGAGAAGGCCTTCTCCTTCTCATCCCCCCCTCGCTCGCCGCCGATTTTGGGCCCCAGATGGGCTTCGATGCAGTCCCCCGGGAGCGTTCTGGGAGCATGCAACGATCCCGGGACCGGGAGGGGCCTGGCCAGAGTCGGCGTCGGTGCACCGTTGGCGCCCCCCATAGGGAGCGTCTCCTCCTCCTCCTCCTCCTCCTCCTCCTCCTCCTCCTCCTGAATAAGTCTTGAGATGTGCATCTTGGGTTTCTCTGCAGAGCAAGAATGGGCCGTCCGTTCCCATCCTGGCTCAAGCTCGTCATGCGGCCGAGCCCCAGCGTCACGGCCGCAATAATTAGCCTGGCTGGCAGCTTGGGTGACGCACTCGGGGGTGGATCGGGCCCGGCGGGTGGAGGTGAGAGCCTGTCCGCGGTGCCCCGATCTCTACTGTGCCGAGGCGCCGGCGTGTCTAGACCTGCACTGCGCGGAGGCGGGCGCCTGCCCACCGGGGCCCACCTCCCCTCCCGAGGCCTCCAGCGAGGCCCACGGGGAGGACAGCGGCCTGGAAGCCGCACGGGCGCCGGCAACCCCGCCTCGCGAGGTGGGAGGCGTGCCGGAGGCGGTGTCGCGCGGCAGCTGGGACAGCGTGGGCTGGTGGCTCGGTCTCGCTCTGGATCTGCTCGGAGGGGCCACGGGCGTCGCCGTGCACGCCGTTCCCGTGGGGATCGTGTTTTTTGCGAAGGCGTGCTGGCACGTTCTGCTGAGCTCGCTCCGCCCACGGACGCCGACGTTGACAGATGGCACAGAAGGGCGTTCAACCGTGGGCGTGGGTGCAGTACGCCAGAGCAGGCCTCTTCCACCAGCGCCTGGTACTAGGGCTCTTGGAGGATTCTTCAGCGGCAGCGATTGACGTGGTGATTGTGATTCCCGACGCCGACGTGTACTGCGAAGACGTATGGAGGGACGGATGCCAATGTCGCCGCGGTGCGCTGGAGTGAGAGCCGACGTCCCCCGCCCCCAGGAGTGCCTCGCGATTCGTATCGGTTCCGCCGAGAACCGACTCCCGCCGGGCTGCTGGAGTTCGAAAGGCAAGGCCGCCTCGCTGCTCGGGACGAGTTCGTGGCGCGGGACCGCCGCAACGGCGGGCCTGGAGTGGAGCCTGCTGGAGGCGCGCTGCTGCCGCTGGCCGCCGACCCCGCTCGCGCACCGTTGGCGGCGCCCCGCTTCCCCGTGCGCCGCGGGGCGGGGCGGGGCCGCTGCGGGAGCTGGAGGCAGGCCGCCGGCGCCGGCTGCGCGGCGATGGCGGGGGGTGCCCCGCCGGTGTTGCCCCGCGACGACGAGCTGGCGCAGGTCGTGACGGAGTCGATGGACGGGCTGCAGAGAGGCATGGCCGTGTTCCCTGGGGCGGGCATGCCGACGATGGGGGACGTTGGGCTCTACAAGGTGTTTGGCGCTGCCCCTGGCCCTCGGGGCCCCGCGGTGACTTCGGTGCGGCGGATGCTGCACAAGGACGTGGACACCTTCGTGCGGGCCGAGTCGATGGCGGACGCGAGAATCATGCCGATCGAGCTCGTGGGGGATCGCCGCAGCGTCGACCCTGGAGGCAGGCGGTAGAGCTGGGCGTGGTCACTCCCTTCCACGAGTGGCCTGTGCAAGGACCCCGCACCGTGGAGTGGGCGATGAGGTTCCTCGTCAGGCGCGGCGGTGGACTGGGAGATCACCATGCTTGGTGGCGTCTGGTGAATCGTCTTCAACGTGGCGAGTAGGGTGTAGAGGTTCACGAGAACGGGTTTCGAGCGCTCGAGATGGCCGCGAGCTACGCGAGCTACGATGCGTTACGATGCCTTGGAAATCGCCAACTGTGCCTGTCTGGAGATCAGAGCCCGGCAGTGCCAGCTCGCGGAGCACGCGCACTCTCGGGAGCCCTTGGGCGCCCCAGCCTCGGGCGGCGACAAGAAGGACAAGTAGAACCGCGGCAAGGGCCGCGTGCGCGCTGGGCTGCTGGAGGAGAGCGACGTGTTCATGGGCCGCCATCGAGAGGCGGGCGAGTCGACGGTCTCGCCAGAGCTGCTCGATTTCGTCGCTCGACCAGATGCCAGTGTCATGAAGCAAGTGCGGGAGGCGCAGGAGGAGCGCCGCGCCCTCGGCAATGGCGCATGACGGACCCCCGTCGAGCTTCAAGCCCGGGCTCGACGGGCATCACAGGGCTGAATTCGCTCGTGGCGA